GCCAAAAAGAAGGTAATACTCAGAAAATAATAAAGACATCTCAAAAAGACATTAAAGCCAGCTTGTACAGGTTTGACTTGCACTGGTCAAATTCATAGATTATTATAGCTCAGTGTAGAGAGCTTGCCAACCCCCAGTAATCAAAAAATAATTAAAATTAAAATAAGAATCCATGAGTCAATGTTGGTACTAAGTAAATCATTAAATAAGGGAAAAGGGGGAAATTCTAATGGTAGAATGCAACTAATTAGTGCATACAGAAGAAATTATAAAAGAAAAATAACCATTAAATGACCATTGTAGTAAAAACTGATCCTGGCAAGAATAATCAATGAATGCTAAAACTAGCATTATCCAAAAGTCTTCTGAGGAACAATTGAGTCTCAAAGAATCTCTCATACACATTATTTGTCAATTAAAAAGAGGAATGTGGCAACTACAGTGGAGAAATCTGGCAAATACTACCTTAACCAAGGGATCAAAGTTAACATCACCAATAATGAACCCAACAGTCACTATGTGCCTTGTCATGTGATGATCTGAAAAAAATACTATTTGATATTCCTACAAAAAGGAACGATAATATGTATATAAAGAGATAAAGCAAATGCAGTAAAATACTAACAAATGGTGTATCTGAACAAAGAGTACACTGGAATTTATTGCAGAACACTGGCAACTTTTATACAAGTTTGAATTTTTTCAAAATACAAATTAAAAAAAAAAATTAGACCAAAAGAAAAAAATAGATATAGAATTTAGGGGGACGCCCATGGTTAGTGGTGCACACCTGTAACGCTAGCAAACTTGAGAGGCTAAAGTAGGAGGATCCCAAGTTGGAGGCCAGCCTTGGGAACTTAGTGAGATCCTCAGCAACTTAGCAAAACTCTATCTCAAAATAAAAAGTAAAAAGACTAGAGATGAAGTTCAGTGTTAAAGCATCCCTGGGTCAATCTCCAGTACCGCCTTCAAAAATAAAAAGAATTCATGGGGATGGACGTACAGCTCATAGCATAGCTCAGTGGTAGAGCACATGCCTAGTATTTGTGAGATCCTGGATTTGATCCCTAAGCACTTGTGTCTCTAAAAAGGATGAGAATTTATACTCCAAGTGATCCATCTATGCATACAATTGGAAAAAAAAAAAAAAAAGAGTGTTGTTAGCCAGGCACAGTAGCACACGCCTATAATCCTACCTACTTGGGAGTCTGAGGCAGGAGGATCTAGTCCAAGGCCAGCCTTAGCAACTTAGCAAGACCCTGTCTCAAAACGTAAAAAAGTTAAAAAAAAAAAAAAAAAGCTGGAGATATAGCTCAGTTGTAGAACACCCCTGGATTCAATCCTAGTATGAAAAAAAAAAAAAAAGGTGGTGGGGACCACTTACCCTTTATAATGTCCTGGGTTCAATCCCCAGCACCCAAATAATAATAAATGCAACACAGTTTTCATATAATATACATTTTTTTTTGGTACCAGGGATTGAACCCAGAGGTGTTTAACCACTAAGCCACATCTCTAGCCCTTTTTTATTTATTTTGAGATAGGATCTCACTAAGTTGCTTAAGGCCTCACTAAGTTTCTGAGACAAGGTTTGAATTTATGATCATCTTGTTTCAGCCTCCTGAGCCACTGGATTACAGGTATGCATCACTAAGACTGGCTAAATGACATTTTTTTTTTTTTGGTGGTGCTGACGATTGAACCCAGGGCCTTGTGCCTGCAAGGCAAGCACTCTACCAACTGAGCTATATCTTCAGCCCAAATAGGACTTTTTAATTAGTGCTGTAACAATTAATATTTACCACACAATCTCAAGAGAAGGAAAAATAAGAAAGAAATGATAATGAACACACAAAAAAATGTAATTGAATGGTTGGGTCATTTTTGTCTTGATAATAATACTGAATCAAAGGCAGACTGATTAATTCATTCCTTTACCCGTCTATGAATCAGAATATGCTTACTCTCCCAAATTGTGCTTCTTCCAATCTCCCCACTTGGAAACACTTTCCTCAGGGCATTCCAGATTTCTGAATAGGAAGCCTCAGATGGTTTTGCTTAATTTGAGTGATCCCATCCAATGGACATTCATTCATTCATTCAACAAAGGTTTACTAAGCTCCAATTGAATGCTGCCCCCACTTCTCTTTCACCAAAGATATAGCAGTGAAAAAACAAATTCATGAAGCTTACATTCTATGGGGGGAGACAGACAATATATAAGTAGATAAATGTAACATATGGGCACTATAATAAAAAAATTTTAAATAAGGCAGATAAGGAGAAAGAAAAACAAAAGGGAAATACACCTCCCCCAAAGAGATAACATATAAGCAGCAATGTGAAGCAAGAGAGTGAAATCAGAGAGTTTGGGGTAGTGGGGGTAAAAAAACAGAAAAACAGCAGGGGCTGGAGGATTAGTACAGTGGTAGAGCACATACTTAGCATGCACAAGACCCTAAATTCCATCCCCAACACCAAAACAGGAACAAATGCAGCATGCTGAAGACAACCTCCAAACTCACTTTACTGTACGTGGAGAGTTGATCCTTTAGGCTCTGACAATGCAACATGGTTCCCAGGGCTACCTGCTGGACCAACTGTTGAAATTTTAAATTTCTGGAAACAAAATCTGTCTCACAGTTTACCTGTAAGGATAAATGATGTTGTATAAATTGTTTACTGATTGTTTCTAAAAGTGCCCTAAGGTTGTGCAGTAAACCAAGATGTTGATAGAATCAGCTTCAGACTCAACAAAAATAAATGACTCCAGAGTTTTAAAGCTTCAGTTCCTCTTTTGCTTGAGGCCAGAAACTAATGAAGTGATTCTTTCTGTTCCAATGAATTAGCACGAACATACACATTCAGAGGGGGTTCCATATGTTGTGAAGGGCTCACTACAAGTTGACCACTTGCCTATGGCTGCACACCATAAACACCTCATTTCTCCAGCCTCCTTCAATTCCAAACCACATTTGCTATCACCCTGCTTATCCCCTTCTCTTACTCTAAACTAATTACACCTACTTCTTTTCACTAGGTAAGGCCCCCAAACCTCCTCTAAAACAGATACTCTCTACTATCAACTAATTAATATAGTTACTACTTTAAAATATAAATTTTCAGGAAATAATGACAAGGTACAGACTGCACTAGACTCACAGTTAGGACTAATATTCTAGACTAATATTCTAGAATATTAGGACTAATATTCTAGACCACACCTGTGCATTTCTATACTTAAATGAGTCCATAGCTAATAACTAAGGTCTCTAAAGTTTAATTCCAACTACCCTTTATGATTCTCAAACAAGTTTCTTATTTTAGAATGCAAAAGGTCAACTATAAGCCTTACACTGAAGGACCATCTATTCTTGATATGTGAAATTCCAACAACTTACCTCTACTAATACAGTAGTATTTCCTTCTTGCAGCAGCCCAATCAGTCCTTCTTTAGTCTTTCTCCCACTGAGCTTGGTAGCTTTGCTCCAGCCCTCCTTCTGGGCCTGCTTGTGAAGCCAGATCTCTGCCTATAAATTGGAAAGAAGAAGGGCAGATGATGAAGTCACAGAATTTATACTGAATGATGTTCTAAAATATGTTCAAGTTCCCTGATGCTTTCTGCTTCCCCTAAATTCTATAATTCTAGTGGCAGTACACCACTAAATGCTGAGTATAGATTGCAGAAACTGGTGCTCTGGACAACTTTAATCTTCACAACAACCCTATGGAGGAAATGGTATTATTTTCATTATATAGACAAGAATGACTCAACTATGGGGGCTGTGCCAGTGACTCAGTGATAGAGTGCTCATCTAGCATGCTTGAGGCATTGAGTTCGATCCTCAGCACCACATAAATGTAAAATAAAGACATTGTGTCCATTTAAAAAACTAAAAATTGAATATTTTTTAAAAGAATGATTCAACAATGAAAGATTAATTTAAATGTCCACAAAGTATTGATGTGAAGGCACCATAATTTGAGTCCTAGAGGGTCTGACTCCTGAGTGCACACAGGTCCCTGCGGCAGAAAACACCAAGCAGTTTCGCATGATATAGGGTTCGTTAACCCTGGGTCAATTTCTCCCCACTAACACAGGCTGAGGTGGTTGTTTAAGCCAGAATTCCATCTAGGTTTCTGCCGTTATGGGCCACTGGTCATCAGGTCTCACCTACGCTCCCCAGTATCACCTCTCCAGACTAAAGTTGGACCCTAGTACCCTACACTGCATCCCCTTCCAACCTTTTTGAGATCTCCACCACAAGTTTCCAGAGCTTTCTTGCAATTTACAAAGGAGTAGCCTGTTTTCTGCCGCAGCTTCATAAGGAGCTCCTTGCTGGAAGAAGAGGCAGACAACCAGGACGCAGCGTGAATGGTGTGCCATGGCTGGGGCGACTGAAGCTGAAGGGACCCGGCCTGGAGAGGGTAAGAAGACAGGGATGAGAAGCCAGAAGCAGCTAAGAGACGGGGAGGGGAGCACTTCAGCTCCGAGGCAGCCTTAGGGCTGGGGAGACGAGGACAGGGCAGCGACTGAAGCTGGACACAGAAGAGTCAATGCCAATGGAGGAGGTGGAACCGAGTTGAATGCGGGTCGGGATAAGGGAAGGGGTGCGCTCGGGACGCACAGGAAAACTACAAGGAAGGCAATGTGAGCATCGGGCCAGGTGTCCTCACCGGGAAACTCCCGGTCCGCACGTCCAGGAACAAGCGCAGCGACCGCAGCAGGGACATCTCGCCAGCTACGGCTCACTCCCGCCAGCTGACGTACGAGCCAAACGACCGACTACGACGTGGCGGGAGGGTCAAAATTCTTCCCCAGAACGTGGCAAACAAGAGTGGCTCCACCTGCTGGCAAGAGGAACACAGTCGCCTCCATTCAGCTTAAATTCATGGAGACAGCATAGATTCAGACACTTCACAGGGAGTTACCCGCGACAGGAAAAATAAGAAAAATCAAAGGATAAAGTTGTCACAAAATAATAATGTAAGACGAATGGTTGACACTTGTTTTTTCTTTTTTTATTTCCAATGTAGCTTCACATTCATTATCCACTTATGACTCAAGACAAACTCCCTGAGGCAGGTAGATGGGTAGAGTCCCTCCAATAAACTTAGCAAGTATTTGTTAAATCAGCAAAATATCTGTGGAACACTTGTGTGCCAGGAACTGTGCTAACCTTCGGGGAATTAGACATGAATAAACGAACCACAGCTCTACCCTCCCAGGAAATCCCACAGTGAGAAAACAAGGATAAGACAAATGTTCACACAAGTCAAAGTAAGGTCCCATAAGAGGTTAAAGGATCTCAGAGGGAAAAAATCGCATTCAAACAGGAGCTGAAAAGCTTTTTTTCAGGAAAGAGGCAAAAAGCAAGATTTTTTTGACAGGTAGCAATAGCCCTTCCAGGCAGGGAATCATCATAAAGATAGAAGAAGTCAGGAACTCTTATATGGATTTAGAGAACAAAGAGTAGACCTTTTACAATCTGGTCAGAGGCCCAATACGTGTAGGAAAAGAATGGAAAATGAAAGAGAGAGGTAATTTGGGATTAGATGGAAGTACTAAGCAGCTTGTTCTTGCTTCTACAAGCAGTGGAAGCTAATCAGAGCTGATTTGGAAGATTCCAAGTTTGCAGACTGGCTCCAAGGCGAGAGAAGGTGGCAGAGGGTCCAGAAGAGGTGACTATGTGCCTAAGCAATAAGAGATCCTGGACCAGAGAAGCTAGCATGAGAGGAGACAAAAACTGAAGCAAACACATTAGAAAAGAATGACTAATGGAGCTTAGAAAGGAAAACCAAAGGTGAGAAGAATCTAGCACTTAGTCCATGTTCTGCACTGCACTATGTTCTGATATCAGGAATCCAGCTCTGAAAAGGAAAAAGAAGCTATAGCCCAAAAGACAGCTCTGCTGCTTTTCCCCAGCTTCAGGATTGGGAGGACCTGACCCAGTTAGAGCCATGACCCTACCAGATTATTGTTGGGGTGTGAGGGGGTACTCCATAAATTTTAGATTTGGGGGTTTGGGGTTTTTTTTTAGTTGTAGATGGACACAATATCTTTCCTTATTTATATTTATGTGGTACTGAGTTTTGAACCCAGTGCCTCATGCATGCAAGGCAAATGATCTACCATTGAGCTATAAACCCAGTCCCAAAGATTTGGGGTTTTGTTTTTGGTACTGGGGCACTTTACCACTGAGCTACATCCCCAGCCCTTTCTATTTTTTATTATTTTTTAAAATTATTATTCTTTTTTTGGGTGTACCAGGGATTGAACTCAGAGGCACTGAGCCACATCCCCAGGCCTATTTTGTATTTTATTTAGAGACAGGGTCTCATTGAGTTGCTTAGTTCCTCGATTTTGCTGAGGCTGGCTTTGAACCTGCGATACCCCTGCCTCAGCCTCCCCAGTTGCTTGGATTACAGGCTTGCACCACCATGCCTGACTAGATCTTGGTTTTTTAAAAAGTCCATTCTGTATAAACAGGACTGGAAGTCATCCGTGACAGTCTCACTGCAGCCACTGTTCTCATATCTTATTTACCTTCTTTACTTCTAAATATCCCAGGGACCCTTCCAACCTCCTTTGTGCAAAACCCCTTTATGCTCTAAAAGCCAATCCTTCTAGGACTCCAGAATTCTTAGCAAACAAACACCTCCCTTCATCTGTTCAAGCATAACTGCGGGAACAAAGAAGGAAGGGGGAGAGAGACACCAAGGAAATCCTTTTTTTTTTTTTTTCGTTAGTCCTTGTGTTTGTGACTCTGGAGATACAGCTTTGGAGAAATGCAGTTCCTTTACTGGAATGGAATGACGTCAAGCAGGTCTTGGTTCCCTGTGCCTGGCCCTATAGATGTTGACATTCTTATCCTCATCCCGCTGGGCCAGCTCAAGTTGGAAGTGCTGGGGAAGAAGGTGCTGAAAGAAGTTCTCTGTCCCATGTTCCTCTCTCATCTTGGAGGCCAGGTAGATGGTGCCATGATGCCCACACAGATGTTGGAGGGTTCCCAGTAGCAGTGGGAAGGTGGGCTCCATGTACACGATATCAGCCCCCAGCACTATGTCATAGTCTCCAGGGAAGACATGCTGATCAATCCCCCAGGACAAGGCACAAACCTGGGCCCGGCCTCCGGCTGGCACGTTAGCCTGGACATTGCCCTTGATCTGCTCTAGGGCCACTGGCAGGTCAGTGATGGTAACATCCCCCCCTGAGAGAGAGCAAGGAGGAGAAATGCAAGTCAGAGGGACCAACCACCGGCTCCTGGTTGGAAGGTCCAGAGACCTCAATGCCTAGAGGGCAATGTCTTCACAGCCCAAAGTCCACACTTTGACTTTTAGTTGCCCTAACATCCATCTCATCGACTGCTATTCTCATTACTCCACATTCTACAACATCAACATTCCCTCTGAGCTAATCTTCAACCTCTCTGCCAAACACAACAATCAGATGTCAGCAGAAGCCTGGGCACAACTGAGCTGGAGACGGGCTATGCACCCACCCCCACTGACACAAGCCTGCCTTCAGGGATCTGGAAAGCTTCCCAGAAGACATGACCTCAGCTGAGTTCTAAAGGGCAAGCAGGAGTTAGTCAGGTGTTGCTTTTCAAGCAGAGGATAGTGAGTATGAAGGCCTGGCAAGAGAAAAGTATGACATGTTCAAAGAAGGCTGTAACTTAAAGGTTGTAGAACAGAAAAGTGTCAAGACATGAGAAAAGAGGACCATAACATGCTAAGGAGATTCAAGTTTCATAGAGGGCAATAGGATTTAAGATGAGAAGCAGGGCTGGGCATGGGGGTGCACACCTGTAACCTCAGCGGCTTGGGAGGTTGAGGCAGAAGGATCGAAAGTTCAAAGCTAGCCTAAGCAACTTAGCAAGACCCTGTCTCTGAATAAAAATATTTTTAAAGGGCTGGTGATGTGGCTCAGTGGTTAAGTGTCCCTAGGTTCAATCCCCAGTACCAAAAAAAAAAAAAAGCAGGGTGAAGACCAGATTAGCATTTCAGAAAGCATTCATGCAATAAATTGAGCACCCAGAAGTGCTAAGGATACAGTGGTGAGCAAAACAAAACCTCAGCTTTCCTTGAGTTTTATTCTAGAGGTAGAAATGCACTATGTACTGCAAAATTAACTATTTAACTATAAATTAAAAATCATTATTTAACTATAATCATGATGAGTATTATGGAAAGAGATGTAGGAAGTACTAAGGATGCATTTATTCATTTTTATCATGTGCTTATATGCCAGGTGTTGAGACTACAGCAGTGAACCAGCCAGACAAGTGTCCCCTCCCTATGGAGCTTACAGTCTAGTAGCAAGAAACAGATGACAACAATTAAAAAAAAAGGAAATGCAATATACCATATGTCAAATGGTAATAAGTGTTATGGTGAAATGTCAAGCAAGAAAAGAAATAAGAAATGCTTAAGGGTCAGGACAGGGAGTGTTATTTTAAATTGGATAATTGGGGAAAGTCTCCATAAGCAGGTTATGTTTGGGCAAAGACCTGAAGGCAGCATAAAGCAAATCACGTGGATCTCTCAGGCTAAAGTCTACCAAGTGACAGAACAGCGAGCAAAAAGACCTTGACGTAGGACTCTGCTGCCTGATTCGAGTGAGGAACAGCGTGTCAATAGCTAGAGCAGAGAGTAAAGGGGACAATAGTAGGCACTGGATCATAGTAAGGGTCTTATAAGAAGATTGAGAAATCTGGCTCTCAAATTTCTGGGATACTGTGGAAGAATTTTAAATGGAAGAAAGGCATAAACTGATTTAATGTTTTAAGAGATGCATTTTGGTTGCTGCAATTAGAGGGCATTGGGGGATTTGAACCTGGGGTACTTTACCACTGATCTACATCCCCATCCCATTTTATTTTTTATTTTGAGACAAGTCTTGCTAAGTTGCTCAGGCTGGCCTCAAACTTAGTCCTCAAATTTAATCCTCCTGCTTTGGTCTCCCAAGTTGCTGGGATTACAGTCATGTACCATCAAATGTATTTTTAATATATTCAAATATCAAAAGAATATATTTCTGAATATATTTTGGAGATAGAGTCCACAGTATTTGCCAACAGATTGAATATGAAATATGACAGAGAAAGAGGGAAAGTTCGGATAGTTTTCAGACATTTGACCTAACTAGAAAACCAAATTGCCATTCATCTGAACAAGCAGTGCTACAGCAGGTGGTATGAATAGGAAATTACAATGTTGTTTCTGGACACTGCATAAAGATAGAGTAGATAGTCACAAACATGAAAAGGACATTCAAAGCCACAAAGTGTTGAGAGTGCTCAGGAGGGAATGTAGTCAGAAAAAAGAAAAGGTCAAAAGATTACTACCTGAGCTCTGGGGCACTCAAATTTTTAGTTGCGAAGATGAATAGGCACTGACAAAAGAGAAGGGAAAAGTGTGCCAGTGAGGCAGGCAGAAACAGGTGTGGCACTCCAGAAAACAAAGAAAGTTTCAAGGAGGAAGTGGCAATGTCAAATGCAGAGTCGACTGAGGTGGGCTGAGAACAGACTCCTGGGTTTAACAACACAAAGTTGAAAGGGAAGCTCATAACCTTAACTAGAGCCATTGGAGTGAAAGGCATGGTGCAGTCTGAATTGGAATGGATGGAGAAAAAACATAGAAGGAGAAGAAGCAGAGACAGTGGACAATAACTCTTTTGAGGAATTTTTTTTTAAAGCAGAGCAGAAAAAATGGCTTGGTATCTGGAGGAAGCTGTAGGATCAGAGTATTTTTTTCTGAGATAGGAGAAATTACAGTATATTTATGTATGTATGTGTATATAATAACATAAAATATGTGTAGACAGTAGACATAATTATACATAGACATAATCACATATAGAGAGAGGGGAGGAGAATAAAACCCAAAGAGAAGGAAAAATCAACAATACAGAAGATGCTTGGGGGCTGTTGCTGGAACGGTGTCTTTGAGCTGGTGGGAAAATTTAGAATCTTTAGACAAATGGAGGGTTTGACTATAGCTAGCACAGTGTGTTGATCCATGATAACAAGGCAAAAGGCAGCCAGGTGTGGTGGTGGACACCTGTAATTTCAGCCACTTGGGAGCCTGATGCAGAAGGATCACAAGTTTAAGGCCAGCCTCAGCAACTCAGTGAGACCCTGTCTCAAAATAAAATAAAAAGGGCTGAGGGTATAGTTCATTGGTAGAGGGTCCCTGAGTTCTAGCCCTAATACCACCAAAAACAACAACAAAGCAGAAGGCAATGTATCAGACTCAGACATAGAGAATAGATGTTGCAACAGGAACATGTGGACATTTTTTGAGAAAATACAAGCAATCAGGAGATGGGAAACAAAGTCATCAGCTGAGGGTGATGATAGTGGAAGAGGCACTCACAGTTTTGAAGAACAAGAAGGGAAGAAACAGATGTTTAAGGGAGTGGAAGAATAAGCAGAAAAGGGGAAGTGTAACAGACTAGCATTTAAGACCCACCTGTCAGTGATAGCAAATTTAAAATGAGACCAATGAGTACAGATGGATATGTACTAGAAAGGCCTAAACTGGCCTGGGGTGGAATTATCAAAGAAGCTTTTCCTTGGAAGTGATAGTTGAGCTGAGCAATGAGGAATGCATATGCATTAACCAGGTAGCAAAAGGGTTTCAGACAGAAAGTGCAGCCTGTGTAAAGTCCCCAAGGAAGGGAACATCAAAGTAGGTTTGTGGAACCAACAAAAGGGCAATAGCATAAAGAGGACAGGAGGGAAAGAGAGAAACAAAAAGAAGTTGAGAGCTAGGTGCACATCTGTAATCCCAGCTCTCAGGAGGCTAAGGCAGAAGGATCACAAGTTCAAGGCCCTGTCTCAAAATAAAATAAGAGTTGGAGATTTAGCTCAGTGGTAGAACTCTTGTTCAGTACATGCAAAGCCCTGGATTCAATCACTAGTACCTCCCTGCTGAAAAAAGAAAAAAAATATGAAGAAAAAAGAGGAAGAAAGAAAAAGGCTAGAGAGAGAGGTAAGGCATCGGAGGCCATACTAAACGTATTTGTTCTATCCTGAAAACAAAAAGAACCCACTAAAAGTTTTGGCATGGGGTGGGGTGTGATTACATCTGCATTTTTTTGGTATTGGGGACTGAACTCAGGGACACTTTGTTAGAGTCTGTAAACAAGTCAAAAATAACACCTGGCATTTTGCCAGGGGAATGTTAGAGTTTGTAAACAAGTCTGGATGGTACCTGGCAAAATGCCAGAGGGAGTGGTTTGAGAAGTAACAAAAGCGAGCCATTAAGTGTGGAGATTCCTTATTGGTTGACTGATGTATCTAGTTTATGCTAATTAGATAAGCTGTGTGGAATGTATAAATACTGCTCCTGTCCTGCAATAAACGGCTCCTACTCCTGCTGTATCAACGTTCACAAGTTGTTCGTCACCCCCCGGTTATTTTGCTGCAGCCGGACTGCGGCACACTTGACCACTGAGCCACCTCCCTAGCCCTATTTTGTATTTTATTTAGAGACAGGGTCTCACTGAGTTGTTTAGTGCCTTGCTTTTGCTGAGGCTGGCTTTGAACTCATGATACTCCTGCCTCAGCCTCCCAGACTGCTGGGATTACAGGCATGCACCACGGTGCCCAGTTCCACATTTGCATTTTGAAAGTCATTCTGACTGCTGAGTGGAGTGGGCAGAAGTCTAAGTAGGGGCAAAAAGTCAAGGTAGGAAGACTAGTATGACTATGTTGCAGTCCAAACAAGTGGTGATGGTGGCTTGGACTGGGAAGCTATCAGTGGATATGACAATACATGAAAAAATCCAGGAGATTTTTCAGGAGATAAAATCAATAGGACTTGAATAATGATATAGGGGTGATAAACAATGACATGTGAAAGGTGATGTCTAGGTACATTGGGTGGATGGTGGTTTGATTCACCAAAATGAGGAAGCCTGAGGGAGGATCACAGAATCTAGGTTGGGTATGCCAAACTTTCGCATAGGGAAGCATGAAGGCTCTTGTGAAAAACCAGGCAAGAAATGGTAATGGCCTGAACTCAACATGGTGGGAAGTAGAGCAGACAACTGTGGAAGAGCTAAGGACATATAATGCAAGGACTGGCTGATTACCAGGAATTCGAGGGAAAGGGAAAGAGACAAAATGACACTCATAGCTGGGTGTGGTGGCATACACTTGTAATCCCAGTGGCAACGAAGACTGAGGCAGGAGGATTGTAAATTTAAGGCCAGACTCATCAATTTAGAGAGGCCCTAGCAATTTAGTAAGACCTGCTCTCAAGATAAAAAAATAAAAAATATATATATAAATATATATATTTATATTTATTTATTGATTATTATGTAGTGCTGAGGATCGAACCTGGGGCCTCGCGCATGCTATGCTGAGCCACAATCCCAGCCCAAAAAGCATCCATATAATGGGAACACTTACCTTCACTTGCTACCAGACTAGCTTCTTTTCCTTTGCTCCCTGTTAAGTTGCCAAGTTAGAAATCTGAGTGTTATCTATCTTTCCATCTATTTATCTATATCTTCTATCTATCTCTCTTTTCTTGGTATGGGAGATTGTACCCAGAGGCACTTAACCACTGAGCCACATCCTCAGTCCTTTTTTGTATTTTATTTAGAGACAGGAGTTGCTTAGGGCCTCACTAAATTGCTCAAGCTGATCTTTAACTTGCAATCCTGCCTCAGCTTCCCAGTCACTGGGAAGTCACTGGGATTACAGGCATGTACCACTGCTCCCTGCAGTTTCTATCTTTTTGCTTTCTGTGATTTCATGGGGGATTTGTCAATTAAAATTCCCTTTGGCATTTGGGAGGCTGAGGCAGGAGGATTGCAAATTCAAGGCTAGCCTCAGCAAGGCCCTAAGCAACTCAGTGAGACCCTGCCTCAAAATAAAAAATAAAAAAGGGCCAGGGATGTAGCTCAGTGGTTAAGTGCCCCTGGGTTCAACCCCTGATACCACTCCAAAAAAAAAAAAGTTTTTAGATAATTGCTTTCAGTGTAGGCTTTTCTGTTCCTTAGATTATAAGAGACTTTTGTTTTTGGTTTTTGGTTCTTGATACAAGCAAACTTTTCCTTACCCTTTCCTTTTCCAAGTCTGCCATGCTTAATTCCTACCCCCACTTCCCAAAAACCCAAGGAATCTAACATATATTAATACATCATGAAGTCTAAAGCAGTCACAAGGTTTAATACCCACAGGTCACTTTTCTACATGATACCCCCACATATGCATTTTGACAGAAGACCACCTCCAAGCCAAAGAGGATTTTTTTTTTTTTTTTTTTGGTCTTGTTTTTGTAATGGAGATTTAACTCAGGGGTGCTTTATTACTAAACCACATCCCCAGCCCTTTTTATTTTTATTTTTTGAGATAAGGTCTGGCTAAGTTGCTTAGGGCTTTGCTAAATTGCTAAGGCTGGCCTTACACTTGCAATCCTTCTGTCTCAGCCTCCCCAGTCACTGGGATTATAGTCATGGGCCACTATGCCATGCCCAAAGGGGATTTTAATTGACAAACTCCCGCATGAAATCACAGAGAGCAAAAAGATAGAAACTATCTGGATTGGTGGCACATATCTGTTACCCCAATGACTAGGGAGGCTGAGTCAGGAGGACTGCAAATTCAAGGTCAGCCTCAACAATTGAGCGAGGCCCTAAGCAACTTTAGCAAGACCATGTCTCAGAATTCAAGATAAAAAACAGAAAGGATTGAGGATGTGACTCAGTGATTAAGCACTCCTGGGTTCAATCACTGATACGCCTCCCCACCACCACCACCACCAAAAGTAGAAACTACTTCTACAAGACCTGCCCAATTTTTATTTCTTGCCCTCAAATCAACCATCCTGGGTGCTCTGACAGCTAATTAGCGCTTTCTGTCACAGAAGAAGGCGGCAGGGGTGTGGGTGGGGGTGTCGGGTGGGAGGTTGTTAAAGAGAGGGACTGGGCTGAACCCAAAGCACTGCCCTCTCCCAAGAGTCCACGGAGTAACAATTTCTCCACATTCCCGTTCCCCTAACCCCTCCCTCCGCAATGCCAGCTCACACACCCTGCAGCGCTGCCAAGATTCCCACGATGCCGGTCCCTGCGCCCAGTTCGATCACCTTCTTGCCTCGAAAATCGACATTTTGACTCTCGAAATAGTTGCACAAGCTCAGAGCCTATGAGGGGTGGGGGAGAAAAAAGAGAGTGGCAGAGATGACTCCATAGGGAAGACTAGGAATCGAGGGTCGGTGGTACCTCCCAGGGACCCTCAACTGGCATAGCCCTTTTCTCACCGAATCCCACACGCCTGCAGCCACCCCGAGTCGTGAACCAAAATTCTGCGTGATGTTCAGTACATGCCCACAGAAACAGAACCGGCTTTTCTCGGAGTAAGAGTCGGTAAAGAGGCCGACTTCGTGAGGGAACACTGACTCCGGCTCTGATTCAGGATCCCGGCGGCAGTTCGCCATCCGGCAAGAGAGTACCCCGGAGCCACCGCGGGTGCTCGGATCCCGGGTCCGTGGCGGAGTAGAGGTTGAGGGCCGCCCCCGCACCCCCGTCTCGGTTTCCCCGTGGCATCGAGCCCCGCCTCCCCGAGTCAGCACTCCTTTCTCCAGATGGACTTCCTGGAGGTGGAATGAGGAGCTGCCCCTCCTGCCTTGGTAACCTAGTACATACCCAACAGGACCTACTTAGGAACAGACAGATGTGTGTGTGTGTGTGTGTGTGTGTGTGTGTGTGTCTCCTCGCCAGAGGGCTCGGGATCTGGGAGAGGAAAGAGAAACGTGCTTGATTCCACTGTAGGAGGCGAGGCCCCCAGATCCCTCCTACCTGTGGGGTGCACAGGTACCTGCAGCCAGGAATGGTAGTCAGACCGTGCAGAAACAACCTAAGAGAAGAGGTTGGTGTCCGGACTGGCCTTTGCCAAACGGCTTAGAAACTAGCGGTGCGGAGGCCAGCTCCGGCACTCGACCCCTGAGCTCCTCCCAGCTCAGCCCAGTCGAATCTGCTCTTGGGTCTTTAAGGGGGCGGGACCTGCTTGCAGCATGCTTATGCGTCATTACCTTGCGCCTCGGCCTCGGTCTCCACGTGGATGCTGTGAAACCCGTGACCCGGCATCATGGCGGGAATCGAGACTGGAAACCCAGTGGGAGCTGAGGCCCCGCAGCCTCAGAAGCGCTACTACCGGCAACGCGCCCACTCCAACCCTATGGCGGACCACACGCTGCGCTAGTGAGGAGCCGGGCAGGGGGAGCGGAAAGAGGGCTGGAGCCTCCGAGCAGCCAGGGAGAGCAATTGTGCTGGGACTGTAGGGAGGATTGGGATGGACCCGGGAGAATCGACTGGGTGACGTCAGTTAGGGGGTGGATTGGAGAGATTTGGCTGAGGGCAGAGCTGGCCAGTTGGAAGGGGGCGTGGCGTCCTAGTAGCGGTGCCAAATCTGGGAAGAGAGTTACTGAAACTAGAGTTAAGAAGCAGGTTGTCGTTTCCATCTTTCACTTTTGTTTGCTGGGTTTAACAAAAACAAAACAAAAAACCACAAACATATACACAATCCTACACTCCTTATCTTACTCTCTCCTCGCAGAGCACACAAAATAGGAGGATCTCAGTGCCTTAGGCAGTCCCTAGGAGAAGGGGAACTTGTGTCCCAGAAATGAGAGCTGCCCAGTCAGAGTCATATCAACCCCAGAAGTGGAGATGGGCAGATCAACAATTGTGGGCCTCATAATGGGCCTGTGGTTCACACTGAGAGCGAGGGGGCTTTCCATTGTGCCTCCTAGGGTCTAGTGTTACAGAATTTTGAGAAATCCTCCTCTGTATACCTCCCACCCATACACATGCAATACCACTTCTGAAAAATTGTATAACCAATCTTCTTACATGTCTTATGTCTTCTTTCCAATAGCCCTGTGAAGCCAGAGGAGATGGACTGGTCTGAGCTATATCCAGAGTTCTTCGCCCCACTCACTCAAAATCAGAGCCATGATGACCCAAAGGATAAGAAAGAAAATCGAGCTCAGGCCCAAGTGGAATTTGCAGACATAGGCTGTGGCTATGGTGGCCTGTTAGGTAACACTGGCTCTTTCTCTGGAGTGAGGAGGGGCCTAGGTTTTGCTACCTCAGCAGGTTTGATGGGGGCTACAGGTGACCTTTCCCCTTAAGACATTGGTGACATCAGTGTGGAAAGCCTCCCACCTCCCTTCTACTGTGGATGTGTGGCCTTTGCCTTGGAGAAGGGAGGGGGTTGCCTCAAATTCCTCTTAGAACCTCATTTGTTCTGTCTGGCCTCAGTCCCTACATGAGCCCCATTTTGCCTGCCAGGTGCTGGGTCATTGAACCGGTCAGCACAAGCGTCAGAGATTAGCTGCTGTGGTCAGTGATCCTGAACTGTCTTTCTTAGGGATTCCACCACTTTCCCTAACCCCCACCACACCTTCAACTAGTCACATTTTTTCTTCTCCACTCTTATGTTTTTGGGTTCCTATTATACTGTCTGTGTTGTTTCAGGTATGCATATCAAGCCACTTCCCTAGTTTTAGATCTTCCCATACAGATAACAGCCTGATAGGGAGAAGAACATGGTACTTAGAGGTAGAAAACCTTGGTTTAAGTTCCAGCTCTACCCCTTGTTAGCTCTATGATCTTGAACATTTCTGGCCCTTAGAGTCCTCATCTTCTCAGTCTACCGTAGAATCTTATAGAAATTAAATAAGACCATGTATGAAATCACTGTGAAAATTGTAAAGGAAATTGTATATGTAACTCAGCCTTCCCATTGTAATCCTGGTGACAATTTTTGTATCTCCCCCAACTCATCCCCAGCAGAGAATAATTCATATAGGTATATCATACCCATTCCTGATTTTGGTAGTTGCAGATTGAGTCCTCCTTTCTTGTGTTGACCCCTTTGAATTTCCACAAGTATGAGGTTGATGATCCCATTGCTATTTCTGTTTCCAGTGGAACTATCACCACTGTTTCCAGACACTCTGATTCTGGGTCTGGAGATACGTGTGAAGGTCTCAGACTATGTACAAGACCGGATTCGGGCACTTCGCACAGCCCCTGGAGGTGGCTTCCAGAACATTGCCTGTCTCCGTAGTAATGCCATGAAGCACCTTCCTAACTTCTTCCGCAAAGGCCAGGTGGGGAGGGGACCTGGTGGGTTAGGCTGGTAAGCAGGCCAGGCCTAGAGGCCAGGTCTCAACCTTGTTGGTGCCTATCTGTCTCACAGTTGACAAAGATGTTCTTCCTCTTTCCTGATCCACACTTCAAGCGAACAAAGCACAAGTGGCGAATCATCAGTCCCACACTGCTGGCAGAATATGCCTATGTACTAAGAGTTGGGGTGAGTTGGGAAGGAGGAGGGGTGAGTGGCTTACTTGGAATCTTCACTAAGAATTAGTTGGAAATGTATTTAGGAACTTCCATCATCACTCCCATCATTTTGCTTCTCAGTTGCATACAGCCCTTACCTAGGCTGATTTTGCCTATGCAGGGGCTGGTATATACCATAACTGATGTGCTGGAGCTACACCACTGGATGTGCACCCATTTTGAAGGGCACCCCTTGTTTGAGCGTGTGCCTCTGGAAGAGCTGGTAAGTAAAGGGCCTAGGGGAAATGTAAGGATGCAGGTCCTTTCCAGAGTGCTTCTGTACTCTTTGAACCAGGAGGATGGGATGGCAGTCTAGGGGTTGGGGAGTCTGAAAAGTGGGCAAGGACTTATTGGACTATTCCTTCTTCCAGAGTGAAGATCCCATTATAGGACATCTAGGCACCTCAACAGAGGAGGGAAAGAAAGTTCTACGTAATGGAGGAAAGAATTTCCCAGCTATCTTCCGAAGAATACAGGATCCTGCCCTCTAGGCATTGACCTCCAATTCTACCCTGCCTGGTTACTGACTGCCTACCCTACCTTAGCTGATCCCCATCTTCCAGGGACAGGAAAGAAGATCAGGCCTCTTCCAAAGAGATTGGGGCTTCCCACCTGAGCCTGGTGGGGCTGGGAGACTGCATTCTCTCCAAAAGTTGGGGAGGTGCTGGTGTTCACAACTACCCTTCTCACTTTCTCATTCCTCCAATGCCAGCAGAAAGCACAAGTAGATAACTGGGAAGGACAAAGGACCTTGGCCAGAGGAGACATTAGGAAGGGTGTGGGGTCTTGTCCTCCTGTAGTACTCCCTGCTCCTTGTGGGGACTCTCCTTATCTGGGATGCAGAATGCAATGTCCCACTGTCTAAACTCTCTACTCAACTCAAATCATTTGTCCACTTGTGTTTTCTTTGCAGTCCTGGGGAATAATGTGTGTGCATGCTCATGCATGCCCGTGCTGCTATTTCTCGGGAAAGATTGGTGGGGGGTGTATCAGGAGCCTCCTCTCATCTTCTCCCTGCCTAAGACTTGACTGGGGCAATCTCTGCTCCCTTTATTGTTGCTGTCTCTGGAGAATCCCTGGTGGTGAGGGGGTGGAGACCCTCTCTTTTTCCATGTAAACCTTTGATTCCAGAACTTCAGAGCTGGCTGACACAGTGCCAGACATGGATAGTGAGGGGAGTGAGATGTAAGGAGCAGAGATCTAAACTATGGAGAATTCTCTTAAAAAAAAAAATAGATGTTGATGGATCTTTATTTTATTCGTTTATTTATATGTGGTGCTGAGGATCAAACCCGGTGCCTCACACATACTAGGCAAGTGCTCTACCATTGAGCCACAATTCCAGCCCTAAACTATGGAGAATTTTAAAGCTAAAAGTGGAAAGGAGCAATTGACCAGACAGCTACTCAAAAGGAGACTGAGTCCGCTAGCAATTCGGAGCATGCACTCACCCCTTGCTCATCCAACAGTCCAGAGAATTTCCAAACTTTTCTACTTTGCAAAAAGTTCTTTCATTTCTGTTCCTCAAACTCCAGATTCCCATGGGTAGAAAGAGAGCACTTACTGACCTAAGAGACCCCTCCTGAAGAAACAGATAAGGTGCCTGAAGCCATTTTAACTCATTAACCCACCTGCCTAGTATGAGTATGATACAATAGGAAAGGTAGACTTGGCTAGTGCAGGAAAATCCTGCTCATCTGCACAGAGAACATGCACCCCAACAAGGCAAAAATGTGGGGACAGTTACAGCCTTCTTTTCCTTTATGGAGAAGCTGGAGGTTGAGGAATTCCTAATGATGGCTCAATAGGGGCTTGGTTCCCTGGGGAAGTGGGAATTACCCCCAAGGTTGTCTCCTGTAATTTAAATAAATACTAAATAACCTTTCCCCAGAAAAGACCTTTAGCTGTTGGATTAGGGCACTAACGACCAAGGAGAAACTGAGACAGGCCTCCCCTTCCACAAGGGTCATTGCAGCTTGAGATCCAAAAAAAGCCACAAAATTAATCCCAGACCTGCTTACTGATCTTGAGTGCTAATCTTGAACATAGACCACTCAGGAACACGGGATTGGCTAAGAAGCTCTGAGAAGGGGTGTTGTCACTGCCTTGTCAGGGCTTAAATAGGGGTTCAGGCAAGTAGTCCAAATGCGCCAGAGAAGGGCTCTCTTTCTCGGGTTCTCTGAACTGCACCATGACCCAAACCCTCAAGTTCACCTCCGGAGTGTTCCATCGCGTCCGCTGGGCTCCTGAGTTGGGCGCCTCCGGAGGCTCCAACTCAACGCCCCGGAGCTTGGCGGACATCCCTGGCCCCTCTGTGCCTGCCTTCTTAGCTGAACTTTTCTGCAAAGGGGGACTGTCGAGACTACACGAACTGCAGGTAGGAAGGGACAAGTCTCTGTTCCTGGGGCTGGGGGAACTGGCTTTGATAACGCCAGCAAGGACGGAACATAGGACAGTTGGTGAGAATGGATGCCCATGAATTATTTAAAAAAAAAAAAAGGCTCGATGGGACTGGGGTCGGGGAAGGTATTTCGAGTGCAGAATCAAGGGGTTGCCCTCAGAGCTTTCTCTCTGTACAAACGTTTCCTGACCCTGTAAGATAAGAATGCCGGAAAGGTAGTGCTGGGGATCCTCCGTGCACATTTGGCTGTAAATCTACGCGTTCACTTTCATTCGCTAGGGACTCTTTCTGAGATAGACAGCTCAGGTGGGGGAAGCTTTAGGGATTTCTCCTTGGTTTTGCCCAGATGACCAAAAAGAGGTCCTGAATGTCTGCATGACACAAAATTCCTCCGTTTGGCCCACCACATTCAAACTTTCCAAGACGGTAGAGAAGGAGTTTCAAGCATTGGGGCCATATACTTAGCTGGGCACTCAAGAAGCTCGTGGGTCCCAAGCCTAGTTAAGTGCCCTTGGCATTGGCACAAGCCAAACTCAGTGCCCGTCCAGGGTATCCTAGTGTCTGCTGCATGGGTTTTCCCAGGTGCAGGGCGCTGCGCGCTTCGGCCCCATGTGGCTGGCCAGATTCGGGACCCTGCGCACAGTGTATTTGGCCTCCCCTGCACTCGTCGAGCAGCTCCTGAGACAAGAGGGTCCTCGGCCAGAGCGTTGCAGCTTCTCGTCCTGGGCGGAGCACCGTCGCCGCCACCAGAGGGCTTGCGGACTACTTACCGCGTGAGTCCTCTCTGCCCTCAAAGCTCATACTCCTGACAGCGAGTCCTAGTGAGTTGCAACCCAATATATGCAGAGGCTTAGAGAAAGCTCCGCTGTTTCTTGCAACCTTCCAGCATCTCGGGGTTCTCCAGTCTGTTCCATCCAAAACTCAGGTTGAACCCTGCCCTCGATCTCCACTCACTTCCTTATACTTAGAGACCAGAATCCTGGGAACCGAGGTAACAGCCGGAAAAGGCGAGGGTACAGAATCTGGATAGAATGTAAGATTATTTTGCTCAGGTTACCCGGGAACTCAGTCCTCCCCGCCCCCGGAGGAGGGGCGGGCAGAAAATGAGTAAAGAAGGTAGAAACATGGAAGATGGGCACAGGCAGGGGTAGCTTTTTTTTTATCTGGAAGGAGGAGACACAATACTTGGCCACCCCAGTCAAGCCATCTTCAGATATCCCCACCTCCCTTGTGCGCCCTCTCTCTGCACCCCTGCAGGGAAGGTGGAGAATGGCAGAAGCTCCGTAGTCTCTTGGCGCCGCTTCTCCTCCGGCCTCAAGCGGCTGCTGGCTATGCCGAAACCCTGGACAAAGTGGTCTGTGATCTTGTGCGACGACTAAGGCGCCAGAGGGGACGTGGCACCGGGCCGCCCGCCCTGGTTCGGGATGTGGCGGGAGAGTTTTACAAGTTTGGACTGGAAGGTGAGTGCCAAAACAAAATTAGGGGTAGGTGTGGGAGACACCCGGGAGATCTCCCAGTGCCCTTACAGCGCCCCCTCCTGGCCAGGCATAGCCGCGGTGCTACTGGGTTCTCGCCTGGGCTGCCTGGAGGCTGAAGTGCCCCCGGATACCGAGACTTTCATCCGCGCGGTAGGCTCGGTGTTTGCGTCTACGCTGTTAACCATGGCGATGCCCAGCTGGCTGCATCGCCTAGTGCCGGGACCTTGGGCCCGCCTCTGCCGAGACTGGGACCAGATGTTTGCGTTTGGTAAGGCACAGAAGAGGGTTGGGAATGGGGAAAAGTACAACTTCTCAGAGGTAGTGAGGCATCAGGGTGTCTTTTCCCCATGTAGCCCAGCAGCTCGTGGAGCGGCAAGAGGCCGAGGTAGCCACGATGAACCAGGGAAACCCTGAAAAGAACATGCCATCTGGGGCACACCTGACCTACTTCCTTTTCCGGGAGAAAGTGTCTGCCCAGTCCATCCTGGGGAATGTGACAGAGCTGCTACTGGCTGGAGTGGACACGGTGAGGTTCACCCTCTACCCTGAGAGACCCACTTCCGGAGTTTATCCTCCCCAATCTCTGGTGCCACTTTTCTGTTTCAGGGAATCCCCTATGGTCACGAAGGGGCTCAACTAATCCCTTGATTTAGCACATCCTTGGCCCCAGACTGCTTCATATTCTGCTGCCTCTACTAGGCCCCATATCTAACACCTAAGATGCTCTCTCCTGCCCCTTCAGGTGTCCAACACACTCTCCTGGGCTCTCTATGAGCTCTCCCGGCATCCTGAAGTCCAGAAGGCACTCCATTCTGAGATCACAGCTACCCTGGGCCCAGGCTCCTGTGCCCACCCGCAAGCCACAGTTCTGTCCCAGCTCCCCCTGCTGAAAGCTGTGGTCAAGGAAGTACTAAGGTGAGGCGGGGAGGAGAAGAGGAACTAGAGGAAAGGCTAGGGAAGCAGGGAGAAAGGAGAAAAATGGTATTCTATGGCTGGCCAAAATTGGGTTTGGAAGTTGGAGGCAATGAGAAAGAGGCTATCTCCCCTAGCCTCATCTTGCTTTTCCCTATCTTTTGCTCTGCAACCTAGACTGTACCCTGTAGTACCTGGAAATTCCCGTGTTCCAGACAAAGACATTCATGTGGGTGACTACATTATCCCCAAAAATGTGAGTATAGTCTATGAAGCCCCTTTTTCTGAGCCACTCCTTACTATCTTGGGCCCCAGTCCTGTTCTCAGACACCCTTCAAACCTTCCCCTTGATCTGAATTCCTTTCTCTTGAGTACAATGGGGCAGCAGAGAAATAATTCCAAAAGTAGCCCCAGAAAACTTCTCTGTCAACCAGAACCTGACTTTATCCCAGTCCATAGATTTTCTTTTTCATAACTATCCCCACTCTACCCAACTCTTTGCTTCTGAGACCAAACTGACAAGTTTGATTCCACTCCCACCAGACGCTGGTCTCTCTGTGTCACTACGCCACTTCAAGGGATCCTGCCCAGTTTCCAGAGCCAAACAGTTTTCTCCCAGCTCGCTGGCTGGGGGAGGGCCCAGCCCCCCACCCATTTGCATCTCTTCCCTTTGGCTTTGGCAAGCGCAGCTGCATGGGGAGACGCTTGGCTGAGCTTGAGCTTCAAATGGCTTTGGCCCAGGTAAGTGTTAGAGAGCTTATGTACCCAGACTGAGAAATTCAACCCCTCTAAACTGTGAGCTCTTGTCATATGATGAGCATAGGAAAACATGTAAAACCTGGCAGACCTAATCCTTGAAAATATGGCAATGCCATTATAGGTCTGAAGTATAAGCAAGGATATTTGGACTGTCTTTTTGCCTTCTATAATCCCTTACCCTCACTGACCAAGAAGGCCCCTACTGTCCACAGATGCCACCCCAACTATTCTAACACTAATAAAGCCCTTTGCCAGTTAATCCTCCCATTATAGATTCCCTCTCACCCATGGTGATAGCCTTCTTCTTCCCTTTCCAGATCTTGACCCATTTTGA